GAGTGAGTGAGTGAGTGAGTGAGTGAGTGAGTGAGTGAGTGAGTGAGTGAGTGAGTGAGTGAGTGAGTGAGTGTGTGTGTACATACCTAATTGATTTGTCTGTTTGTATATGTGCAATTGTGTCACACCCTCCTGTCTAACAGCACAATATTGAGATCCTAAGAGCTGGCCTGACCCCACAGGACAACACTTTAAAGAGGGAAAATCCACATTTTTCTGTGGGGAATGGAAAACCAGGATGCCCGGTAATTAGCACTACTAAGTTACAATAGCGCTGTGTTATCACTTGTTGACATTTTGTTCAGCAGAAAGGTGAAAAGGAGGGCGCCCACATTATCAGAGACTACTGTCAGAGTTACTGGGGAGGTACCGACATACAAAGGGCATACAAATATATGAATCTTGGGGAGCTACTACCACTTAATGAAAATGACACTGAGCATCATTACAATAAAAAACGATAGTTGCCAACAGGAGTGATATCACTTGAGGTTGTTCCATGGTCACGGGAGGTTCTCAGCCCAGATACGCGAATACTACAGAGGACGCTTTCTCCAAACCTCAGAGGTATCACCTGAGAATCTCTCAGACACTCAAGTTGTAACAATCTGAGCTACAGAGCTGCAGGATACGGGGCTCAACCAGAAGTTGACTTGCCTTCCCCTGACAGCAGTGGTGCTGCTGCTCTAGGGGTACATGGCACCGCCAAGTGATAGCAGAGGGCACCTCAAAGACTGACTGAACACTGATCTAACCAGAGGAGCGATTAGGATTATTATAAACATTAGATCCACATTAGCTTTTGCAGTGTTGTCACTAACTTTTGACTTGGAAGCGATGCTATAGTACTGGGAAGCGTGTCCTTAAAGGGCCAACTGCCCCAGCAGAGGCTAGGCAGGGCACAGTAAAGGTTGTGTGCAGCCAGGTGGAATCAGGAACAGCATAAATCAGACCTCTTGCAAAGCACCTGAGACACCAAGTGAGCAAACACACAACTTCCCTCCCCTCAGTCTAACTTAGTTACTACAACAGTTCCCATCCCCACAGTATCTGAGTGCTTCACAGTCTTTAATGCAATTCTAGCGAAAGAATGAAAATGAGCTGTTGAGCAATGGCTGCAGTAGCCTTCTCTTTGCAAAGAGAGAAATAATAGCAATGATAGAACTCTCTTCACCTCCTAGACAAACTGGAGCAGGAAAGTCCCCCATTCCCATGAAGCAACTGGTGTAGACAACGGAGCCCCATGGCTCAGTACTTACCCTAGAGCCTGGAATGCATTTGCTTGAGAGCTTGCACGCACAGACTTGGAGAGGCATGCCAGGTGAGGCAGACTGTTGCACTTGTCTCTTCTGCCAGGCTCCGCAACTTTTCCTCACAATCATTAGAGACAGGAACAAAATATTTTTTTAACTGAAGACAGAAAGCCTGACATCATTTCCTGACTCATGGAGCTGGGTCCTCAGCATGCATCTTAGCTTGCCTAAATTTTAATCTGACCTGCTCAGCCGTAGGCTCAAATTCTCAACAGAAACAAAATTATCTATTTTCAACTTATTTCTGTTTCACATTTTCTTACCCTCCCCAACTCAGGACTAGCTTGTGATCAGCTAAACTTTCTGCAGTCTTTGGTATGCAAGACTGTGATTTGAAAAACAGAGGAGCAAGTTTCACTTATTTCTCTTCCTGAACTTCCTGGTTCAGCCCCTTCTGTCAGGGAACAAGACAAAAACTAGTAAACAGCAGTACATTGAGCAATATACTACGCAGCTGGCTATTTTCTCCATCTGTACCAAGAATCAGGTTTCTTTCCCTCCTACATTTTAAAAGCATTCATTTAGAAATAAGTGCAGCAGTTGACTTTACACAGAAGAGCATATGGGAGTTTCATGTACTGCCATTAATCATTTGGGATAGGAAAGCACTTAATTCTTCAGTATTGCCTCTCAGTGTAATTCAAAACAGAAAAAATGCATATTTCCCAGAAGTGAAACTTTTCAGTTGAAGTCCCAAAGAACAGTTAAACTGTGAAAAACAGGAACTAAAGGACTCCAATAAAAAACAAGTCCAGCTTCATTTTCTCCCTATTTTAGATTTGATGTTGTAGGGTGAATCTGTTTGTTTCCAACATAGTTTAAGGCTTTGATGTGTTAAAGGGATCAAATGAGATTTCCTAAAATTAAAATTCATAGCTGAACTTGCTACTTCTTTTCAAGTGTAGCATGGCAAATGCATACAGATAAACCTTCAATTTGTAACCAAGTCATAACAGGAAACTGAAACAGCTCGTAGCCAACATTCCACATTGCCGCACAGACAATGACAGCACTGGACATGAGTCAGCTGTGCAGAAGGGGTGTTGCAGCAACTGGCTGCATAGCATGGGCAAAGGCACAACCATGTTTTTGCATGAGTGCAATAGAAGCATTTTCTAGTCGGCTGCAAGTAATAATACAAAACACCAACCCATTTAACTGAACGCTGTTCCTGAAGGGGTCTTGATGCACTGTTTTCATGGTTTAGTAACCGTAGCTTCCTCTGAGCTGAGATCAGGGCACTCCTCAGGGATGACTGATCAATTTATTTTACCTGCATTCATTGATTGCTTAGACCCAGTGAAAAAAATAGGGGAAGAGCTGGGTAAAAAAACGGAGAAAGTCTCAACTACCAAGCTGCAACATCAACCAACTTCCTTGATATCTTACAAATAGGACAGATCAGGGTACAAACACAGGAATTTCTCTAGGCAACTTCTTAAAATCATGGACAGATGTAGAATATTCATATACTCCTGTTACTATTTCCCAGCAGTCTCTCTGCAGTCTCCGAAAAAGTGGTGTTACACAAATTGCCAATTGCTCAAATTACGAGTGAGACTTTATAAAGGGGGATAAGGCAAGGTGCCACGTTTATTGATTACATGAGTTAGACATAGAGGTTCAGACACACCATTTGTACAAACACACACAAACCATCATACATATTATTACACATAGGCATACACATTCACAAAACAACCATTTCATCCCCACATACACCAGATTTAGTTATCAGCAATAGTTGCTCAGTATCAGCCTAGGGTGGCCAACCCAGGCTTATTGAGTAAATGATGATGATTTGAAGATAGCAGATTTGAAGATAACAGCTGGAGCAGGGTGAACAGATGCATCTGTGCTCCGATGAAACAGCAGTAGAGAAAGAGACTCACCTGACTTGGCATTTTCAAAGTGTTCTTTTATAGGGATTGGTATCCTTTGTTTCAGTGCTTTGGGGTTTTATCACACCCAGCTTCTGTTTTTGTGGTTGTTCTTTTGTCTTCAGGTTATCTTAGCCTTGGAGTGTTCTTGTTGCCCATATGGCAGAATTTCTTCTTCTGTTATCTCCTTTGTGCCCTCGAGCTTCAAAGGGATTCTTCAGCCATTTATTAGTTAGTTACTGGCTAGTAACTTACGATTTGCACCTTGTTGCTTACATAAACAGTTAATCTTCTTCTCCCGTTTCTATGCCATTCTCTCACCATTCACACTTTTACACACACTCATACATAAAGGTTATGCAGAGTTTATTCACTTATGTCGAGCGGAAGGATACAAAATGGAGTTTTCAAGCTGCTTACAGAACAAGACTAACATGGTTATATTTCACTATTATTACACTCTATGTTAACATCAGCTACATTAGTTCAGTTCATGCTACAGTGGACCCATAGCAAGTTCCTGGAATGCTGACATGACAAAGCAGGAATATGTAGCCCAGTATGTAGCAATGAGTAACTGCTCCAAAGGCCCTCAGTAGCATGCTCTCAAAGGGCATTTTTACATGTGCTCTGGGGTGGCAGAAAGGTGCTTAATGACAGCAGTTCTGAGAGCCGCTCTAATTAAAGTGCTCAGAGCATCTCATGCATCAGCATCACCATGCTCCAAAATGGTGGCTGGGGCAAGCTTGAACAAGCTTTAGTTAAAGCACTCTACCATTTTGAAGTGTGGGGACATTGATGCATGAGACGCAGGGGCTGGCTGAACCACGGTAATTACCACGCTCCGGCAGACTCAATTAATCATGTAATTACAGCACTCTGGAGCAGCCTCCAAGCTCATGTGCAGGCACCCAAAAGGACCCACATTAGCCCTACTTCTCTTCAATATATATGTGGGAAATCTGGGAGAAACATTAAAATCCAGTAGCATAACCCAGAGCAGGGTAGGAGAGGCAACTGAGGCAGTACACCCCAGTTAACTGAGTCCGAGTTACCACCATTGACGGGTGGGAGGAGAGGCACAAAAGCTGCAGTGGCAGCTGACTGTGCTCCTGCAATTGGCACAGCAGGAGCTGGCACCACTCCCTGCATCAGTGGCTGCTCCAGGTGCATACTTACTCTACTATGCCTCTGGTAAAACAGCTTGGCTGCCACCGGTGTGCTAACCACATTTAACTACATATTTCATTCTCATTCCTGCCTCAATTTAAGCCGTCTACTGTTCGTTACTGTAGAAGGGATCAGGACCAAGTGGCTGCACAGGGATAGGGCCTGCATGCTGCATGTTCAGCGGGTGTCTTGCTCTCTTGCTTTCAAATGTCTCCTGCCACGACTGGATGTAGTTGAAAAGAGATATAAGGAGGTAGTACGTGCTTGGAGAGAATATGCTCAGGTTAGCATGGGTTGATGTCAAGGTTTTCTGTGGGGCTCCTCCTCCCCTATACCCCACCCCTTTCCACTCAGGGGTGCAGTTTGTGGGTACACATGTTCAGCCAGCCTGAGCAATTGCCCTGCAGCTCAGACACAGAAGGAAGAAGCTGAGTTGTCCGAAGTCTGCAGATTTTGGCTATGATTGTTGAGGTTTGCTGCAAGTTCTGGGATCACCCATGTAAAGAAGCAAATAAACTTAACTCAAATGATCATGCCCTAGGACTTTCTCTGGCCCTATGGGTGCTTTAGTCACCTTCCATCACGCAATCTCAGTCTGGTAGGCACAGCCCTGTACAGGCTTGGTCTTTATGGGCAGGCTTGCCTGTCCTAGACAAACCCATGGAGTAACGTGGGGCCAGCAATATCATGAACCCTGGCTTAGCCCCTAGAGGTACCTGGCTCCTCCCGGCAACATGGATGTCTGGCATTGGTCTGGAGAATTCAGATGTGTGAAGTCCTGGGCTCCTGCCTCCATGGGGGGAAGTGATGACAGCCCTCCATCTGACTGTACATTCTACCTCTCCTGGCATCGGTGCAAGCATTTATAAGGGTATCTGAGCCAGTGTGAGCCAATCCGGCCTTGTGTGCCCCCACATGCCCTACTGCAGCCAGCAGATGTTAGGAGCCCCTGAGGTGCTCATTATCCCCTGTAGCTGCTGCCTCCAGGCCCCAGGCAGTGCTCTGTGTGCCAGCTGCCTTGGGGCTGCAGACTGAGCCCATATGGGACTGGGATTCTGATCTCCACCCAGATCTGGGTGCAGGGCTTAGGAAATGCCTGCTGTGCACCAGCTCCCTCTCCGGAAGTGTTGTGGGGCTTGGCTTGGGAGTGCAGGCTTGCTGTTTCCCCGCAAGTTTGGCCAGGGATCTGCTGACCGTGGAATGTGTCGGTGGCTGCCATCCCAGTAAGTACAGGGCTCGGCTGGGTCCCTGATACAGTGATGTAGCAAACCTCCAAGCCTTCCCAACCCTGTCCTTGGGCAATCAGTAAAACCTATACATGAAGGGTTTTGTCCCCATAATGGAGATGTTCCAGAAAAAAATGAGTCACCCCACCAGGGTGATGGGCGGGGGGTCCTGTCACTGAGGGAAGCAAAAGAGTAGGAGGGTAAAACTAGTGATCAAACCAATGAGTCAAGCCAATGATCCCCAAAAGAATTTTTGATCACCCACAGGGGTGCAGTGAAAGTCAGGGCACTTTCCTTTCTTTAGCCAAATCATCAAAAAAGGTGTGGGTCTTTTTTACAGACTTGGAAATCTGATGCATTTGGAGAATCTGAACTCGGCAGCAAACCTGTCTTGGGAGGTACTTTCTAGGGATGCGCGAAATGGGCTGTATTCGATTCAGATTCGGCCTGAATCAGGATCAGTGATTTGATTCATTGATTCGGATCACCGTCCCCAATTCAATTTGGCCAAATCCGAATCTGAAGATTCAATGCCAAGTCAGAGAATCAGCGATTCGGCCATAGACACAACTTTAAATGTTTTTTCTATATACCTTGAGGTACCAGGCGTGGCTCGTGAACGCTGTGATACTGGGGCAGATGGAATGCTCCACAGGAGTGCAGGAGGACACCCTCATGCTCGATGGCAAACCCAGAAGTAGACCAGAAATACTTGGCCCCCCCCCCAACCCCCCCGGCTCAGCAATCAGCATAGCAATCTGCCATCCCATACACAGGAGGCACTCGTCGTGAAGCTGGGGGGGGCCCCCTGCACACTCCCCAGCAGACCCAGAAGTGCTTCTGGTCCACTTCTGGGTCTGTTGCCAAGTGCACTGGGGACCCCACCACACTCCTGTGGGACGCTTCACCCACCCCACCATCTCAGCATTCACAAGCCCCCTGCTACCTTTAAAAACATTTAAAGCTCTGTCTATGGCCAAATGCTCAAAGCTTTCCGAATTTCTCCGAATCAATTTGGAGGGTTCCGATTCAATTCAGAGAGATTAATGGGTCTCCTGATTAGATTTGGTTTTGGAGATTTGGCCACCAAATCGGGCTGAACCTCTGCCA